TTAAAGAAGATGAAGGAATAAATACAAGGAAGGTTCTTATCAAGGAAGGTTATCACACCAAGTTTGCACAAAGAATTTCAAGAAAGCACAGAAAGAAGAAAAGACCAGAAAACTTAAAAGAGAAGGAGATGAAGAAGAAGATGATGGAAAAGAAGGTGGGGGTTTTAAGGAGAAAAAGGAAAGGGGTGAATGGGAAAATCAAAGTAGGTAGTAATAAAGAGAAGCGAAAAAGTAACGGGCTTTTCGAATCTCGAAGGACAATAATGGCTGTCAGGATATGACGTTTCAGATGGGCAACCGTTTGGAGAATCAAGGCAACAAGAAAGTGACAAATGGCAATCAAGATTAGGATTAAGTAGGAAGCATTTAATGAGGATGCTGACGTATAAGAAAGAGAAGATATAAGGGGTAAAATAACTTATAAACTCGGAGTAAAATAGACATTGCACTCCGAGCTTGGGGGCTTAATGTTCCGGGTTTATACATCCGGGTATCAATAGTCAAGGAAAAGAGTTGATAGAACCCGGATGGGGTTTTACCCGGAAGGGAAGTCGGCCAAAATACTATAACCCAAAGTGGGCCCTACCACGATTACATGATGGGTTTCTATAACTACCCACGTTCACAATAACCACCTATGGAAGGGTTATATATACCAAAGACCATAACTAACATAGGGGATAGACAATAATCATACTAATGTTCATACACAACAGCAATAATTTTCAAACGGGGAGTACTAAATTATAGAGAAGCAGTTTTACCTTGAGAACCATCAGCTTTCTTAACTAAGGACTCATAATCAGCCGCCAAGAGGTTGGGGCGCTTTCTTTTAGTCTTAGGTCCAAATGCATCCTCAAAAGGCTGTCTATCAAGAAGGTGAACCCTTGATTGCTACATTCGAAATCCACAAAATTAGTAAATTTCAAAAAAAATAATAATAAAAGAAAGCACATAACTATTAACAAACAAAACAAAATCCTTGCAACAAATAAACAGCTTAATAAATAAACCTTTTGGTGGTCGTTGAGGAGTGACAGTGGCAATTTCTTCTCCTTCAGAATAACATTGTAATTACTCGACATGCGGCTCTGCAGCTCTTCTCTGAAGAACTCAAGCTCTTTCTGATTCACAACCCGAGTGTTCCCTACAGATCATGAAACCGAAAAATTAAAATAAAATAAAATTGTCAAAACCATAAAATTCACAAGTTCAAGTTGAAGAATCGTGATTATTATTTTATTTTTTGTTGTGAAATTGAAACTAACCGAACCAACGGCGATCAGGTTGGATTCGCGTGTCCCTTGCGGTCGCGAACTGGCCTCGTGTTGTACATCTTGAGGCGGCGCACGGTGGCGGCGGAGCGTGACTCCTTCTTCGTGTCATTGCTGCGATTCACGTCGAGTGAATGCTTCGGTTTTCCCGAGACGTTCACTTTCCTCTCCTTCTTCTTCGTCATTGCAGAGATAGAGAGAGAAACACAGAGATATAGAGAGAGAGAGAGAGAGAGAGAGAGAGAGAGAGAGTGTGGTAGTGAGGTTCAACTTGGTTTGTTACGTTCAACTTGGTTTGTTCCAACTGAAAGAGGGGTACCGCCAAATACACACAGTTAAGGATTAGGGTGATGATTCTGAATAGGGGTGTTATGGGGCCCAAAGGTTTGAATCGGTTTGGATCGGTTAGTTCGGTTTGGAACACCCCTAATTCGAACCATAAAAAATATTTATAAAAATAACAAAAAATTATTATTTTTTGTCAAATGAAAATGAGAGCCATAATATTTTTATTATTTGTTTATTATGTATTTAAATAAGATTTTTCAGTTGAAAAAATTAAAATATATATATATATATATTTGAGAGTTAGAGTATTTTGGTCGAAAGTTGTTTTTATTATAAAGTCATGCTTACTCACCTACTTTGATAATATTTTTTATTAATAAAAACTGTTTCGAATAATTTTAAAATGAAATTTAAATGTTTGGAATAAGAAAAAAGAATTTTGTATACCTTATCTTACACTGTTATACCTAATAAAAGAAAAAAGAACGAGAGAGAATGTGTATTTAAAAAGTTAACTTATTTCAAATTATATTATTAGATAATTTATACTTATCCACAAAAAAAGATTTTTATAGTTATGTCTATGTTTTTATATTATATCTTAGAAATGAACTTTCATTTACTACAATCAGATTTAAAAAATAACAATAAATAATTATTTTTTTTGCAAAGATTTGTGTCGTTAGTCTTTGGAATTTCACAAATTTATATTTACAAAAATTGAAATCAGATTTAGTAATTTAATTATAAAAGAAGAAAGATAAAATTTAAGTTGAATTATAAAAATATATTAGCGGGCTGGCCCTCTGGGCCGACCTCAGCTTTCCACCTCTAACTATCAGCATTTTATATAAATAATTTTTTTTTGCAAGGATTAGTGTCGTTAGTCTTTGAAATTTCACAAATTTGTATTTATAAAAATTGAGATCAAATTTAATAATTTAATTATAAAAGAAGAAAGATAATATTTCAATTGAATTATAAAAATATATTGGCGGGCCGGCCCGCAGTTGTCCACCTCTAGCTGTCAACATTTTAATTACACTCTTGCAATAAAAAAATGAAAGTTTAATTTCTTTCTTATGTATTAAATAAAAATTTTCATTTTTATAGTTCTTTAATTTAAAAAAAAAATTTACAGAATGACAATTGTCATTTTTTATTTAAATTTAAAATTCAAAACTTTTTATGTTAATTATACATTTTTTTAAATATAATTTTTTTCTATTTTAAATTATGATTTTTATATATTTTTTAATTGGTTATACATGTATATTTAAAAATTTTATGTTAAAATTTAAATTTATTTTTTGTAAATTATAAATTATGCCATTAATCTATAATTTTATATTAAATTTAAATTTATTATATATATCTCTTTTTACACTGCAGAAACAATAAATGCTGAACTACTTTTCACCTATCAAATTCAAAATTTAAATTTAAAAGTTTGAATTATAAATATTAAAAACAATTCTCACTCAATAGACTTAAATAATAAATATTATTAATAAACTTAAATTCTTTCACAAAAAGTAGTGGAAAACATGTATTAAAAACCGTGCATATTTTCCAAGTAATAACCACAATGTGAGTGTTTTTATGTTTACTTACTTGGTTGGGTTGGTCTTGCTAAAACAAATTCGTGACCTTACTGGACATTGTTAATACTTATGACCCCTTGGACACTGAGTTGTGAGGGAGGATTTTAGCTTGACAGGTAAGCTTCGTGTCCTCGGTTTTATGCATGATGGTTCCACCATACCTCATGGAGGGGTAAATTATATGCATGTTGTGTTTTTTGAAATTATGTGAAGAATGTTTAATATGCTATTGAGCTGTCTTATGAGTGTAAATGCCATATGATATCTGTGTGAGGTATTTCACCTAGACGGTGCATACCTGAGTATGTGGAGACATACAAGATGGTAACTCCGTGGTTGAGTGCGGGTAAGTTGGGGTTGTAGATGTGTGTATATAATTCCTACCTTTATTATTCTGGCCAGTAGGATGCATACACACAGTGCGCCAATCAGCATATGCTGCATTGCATGAATATTTGATATTCCACCAGTTATTATAGCTTTGAACTTATATTGCACATGTAAGTGAGCTTGGGGTGGAGTGACTTTGATGACCCTTGTCTTGCTGAATTTCTTTTTAGAGATCTTACCCCGTGTGGGGCATATTTTCAGGTACAAGTACCTCTGAGGTTGAGAGCATCTGGCGACGAGGCCAAAGTTGAGCTGATATATACATGCCTATCTGTTATCAAATTTGGATTAGATTGCCTTGTTATTTCTCTTATGGTTATTGTATTGGAGACATGCTATGATTATGTTATTTTATTTGGTGAGCGTGGGAGTCATGCCATATTGGTATAAGTTGTAATTGTTCAGACTTTGAGTTGTATTCATAGGATATTATCCGGTCTACGTGTTGTAGTTTCGTGACTTGATACTTATGTATGATATTAGGTTATTCTGTGTAGTTATTTATTGCAATTTACATACAGGCGATATTTTGATAATGAATAAGTAAATGGACTTGGTTAATATGATACGGTTCTATAATTGGAAAAAATTTAGCTTCTGCATTTATCTGAGCTGCGCTATTTCCATTTCTATGTTTAATACACCGAGTGCACACGGGGGTGTTACACCCCCGTGTCGACGTTTGTTATCATCTGAATAGTATTAAGCGCAGCTAATTAATCAAATAAATGCGGAAGCTAATAATCTTAATTCATAATTAATCTCATGTAAAAACGTGAATAAATTTTTTCCATTCTATATTAATTACTTGCATGTCAAGTTAGTTGCACTCTATATCACTTTTTCTTCCAATAATCTTATTTTCAATTTACGTACATGACTATTTACACATTTCATGAACTTTTTCTTACGAGAAGACATCCTTAAGTTTAATGCCTCCTTTTAAAACATACAAGTCTTGATATCTATATTATCAAATTACATTCATACTTGTCATATTTCGCCATACTTAGCACTTCATTACTTATTTTATCCATGTCACACAACTATTCCTATTTCTTTCGTTACCTAGTCGTTAAGTTAAACATGTGAATCCTAGGTACTTCACTTATGCGTATTCATACTCACATCATCACATCTCAAAATATTTATACAAGTCATACATACCTAATTGATATTTCCTAGAAATTCATTGCGTAGATTATTCTATACGTAACATTATTACAATGATCATCACTTAATAGAACATGTCATAACATCATATGACCAACTACAATAACTCAATAACATAATCTTATTCAAGAAGGCATAGACAACCCCTATGCTCACATCAAATACAAACATATACAATATGTATCCAACTGGCATTCATATCTCATAGAGATACATAAAAATCTCAAATGATAGCAATGTATGTATCATGTCATGCTAAAATCACTACGCTGGCCTCACGCCACGAGATGCATTGACATCAATAATCTCAGTACCTGAAAATATTTTCCAAACGGGGTGAGATGACAATCTTAATAAACTAGGGTTCTCGAAGTATCACTCTGTTCCAAGTTCATTTACAGGTATAATATAAGTATGAACAATATAAAGCAATATAAAGATGCAACATATGTATATCATGTAGGTGAGTAAATCACAAATCTACTGGCCAGAGAATAAATAGGCATTACACACGTCTGCAACCTACATACAAAGTATAAGGATCTACCCTATACCCACAGTGCTGGAGTTTCTACCCGTTGTATGGAATCACCATAATTCAACCCGTCCAAGTGTTACTGCACACTACCCCACATACATACATATGAATATATGTAATCATGTATTACCAAATACATCATATATACATCATGTTGAATGGAACAAAAATTTTCATTACAACAAAAATTTATGTTGAATGGAACCGGGATATCATAGAACTCAAGCCTCCACCTATAATAAGAAATCATCTTAATGACATGAAGACTTGTTGTAATTTATCTCATTAGTGAGTAATTAAGTTATTCTTAGTGTAATTATCTAGTTCATACCAAATAGATATAAATCCTTATAATATAATATTTGAGATAGTGAAAGTTTTGTTTCGAACCTTTAGTTCCTTGAAATTAACTCAATAGATTAAGGTACTTTTTACGTTAAAGATTGTATATATTTTGTGTTCAATTTCTCTAATTTACCCTTGTTTGATCTTTGAGGATCAAAAGTTGATGTTGAATTTGTGGGTAATGACAAATCACTAAGCACAAGCATACCACAATGAGCTAAAGAAGGTGTGTGCGCGCGCGCTCATAGTAACAGACTAACAGCAAACAAGGGTTAGGGTTTCAAAATATATTTGTAAGGTTAAATCCCCAAATTTATAAATAGTTCGTATCTGAGAGTAAACTAATTATAAAACTCTTTTTTTATTTTTTTTCTCTCGCTTCCGCAAAGCAAGCCGATGACAGAATAATATTACTTAAAGGTTATTTATATAAAAAAAAGTTCTTAAAAAAAAAAAAAAGTTATTGAAACCTCCCTTTATTTAATTCGTGCATAAGGGCCTGTTGATTGGGCTTACCGTGTACATGGCCCATTCTTGCGTACGCAATCGTCACCTCTTCCGTTTGGACATATATGAGATTCGTACCCATATAATATTTTCCATTATTTGCAGGTTATTGCCAAGCAAAATAGACTATTTTGAACTAGTATTTGTTATTGTATTCGATTTTTTTTTTTTTTTATCTATTTCAAATTTTAGAATATTACAGAAAATCGTTAACTAAATATTTTTTAGGCTTTAATTTGGTCATAAAAAATAGCGATTTCAAATTTTTTATCGAATGATTTTTTTTAATCACATAAAATCAATTTGGTTCAAGTAAATAACAATATTTTTGCACTATTTTAATGTTAGATGCTTATCATTTAATAATCAACTCGGTGCAGTAACCTTTTTAAGACTAATTGATGTTCTAAAAATATTTAGATAACCGAAATGGGTTTTGCTTCTAATCCGTTCTGAATGTTGTTCCAAGTCTTTGTTATCTAGTTGACTCAAATGCATCGTTATTGATTGGTAGTCTATGGACTAAAAGCAAAGCTACAAAGCATAATTTAGTTTTGGATGAAAATTGTACCTATTTTCTTTTTCTTAATATTTACTGGAATTACAAGTACGACTAGGCTATTGTTCGGATGGATTTTATTTTATAGTAAAAAAATGTATATAAACATGAATTATTAGATTAGATATCTACAAATGTTTGATAGATTTCAAATGTGATATACATGGTCTTCTTGATGGTTAGATCTGTGAGACTCAATGCTTATTAAGAATATTAGCGTGTTAAGACTAGGAACTTGTGTGACACTGAATATATTCTCTTACCAAAAAAAAAAACTCAATATATTGTTTATCAAAATTGAAAAAAAGTAATATAATTGACTATACCTATCTTACCCACCCTTTTATGGTTAACAAATGTAATCTCATCAACACTTAAGTTTTTGGGTTGAATTGACCATTTACATAGTATCAGAGCCGACATGACTAAATGATCATGAGTTTGATTCTTACCGACCCCATTTTATCAATAAAAATAATTAAATATTGTAGAATTTCTTAGTACATGTAAGTTTGATTTGATGCATCATCCACCCTTTAAGTCTAATGGGCTCTAGTGTGAGAAGACATGTTAGAAAAATATAAAAAACTATTAACGTAGACTCGTCTAACAACTTAAATTGTTGAATTGATGATTTATATTAAGTTTTATTTTTCCTACTTTTGATAAAGGAATACGAATGTAATATAGAAGATATGCTCCTACATTAGGTAAAGAAAAGTGGAGGTATAAAGAAAATGTCACGTCATTTTGTTGCTATCTTCACTTTGTATTTCTAAACTCCGACAAATTCTATGTACTATTATTCTTCTATTTTGTCATCTTATCTAACAAGGTATCGGGCAACAGAAAACCATGATTTTGAACTTAATATGTTCAAATAGACCAATTTCCATGTACTATAATATATCATTATTCTATTTTGTCAGCTTATTTCTGACAATCTAGCTATATTCATATATATCAGACAACATGAAAACCATGATTAAGATATTATAATGTTAAAAAAAGCCAACTTTTGGAATGAATTAGAAGAGAGAAACAAAGAGCTAGACATATTTAAGAACATCATTGGTTTCATATAAACCATATTTTTTTATTTGATTTTGTGAATCATTATTCCATCAATCGTTCAAAGTTTATTCCTTCACTCCTCGAGACTAGACAAAAGAAAAACCAACGACTATTCAATGTCCATTCAAACAGACAGAACGTCCTCTTCTCTTTTTCCTAAGCTCCTCGTTATTGGTAGAACACTCTCCTTTTGTACACTTTCTCTTTTTTTCACCCTCTTTTTCTTTGTCTTTACATCATCAAAGTTTTGAGCTTATTCATGACAAAAGCAATTATTCCATTCATTTTGTTTAAAGCTTGTTGCTTTGCAACATTGTTTATAATTCCCACAAGATTGAAGAGAAGCAGCTTTTGATAATCCACATAACTTTACATATATATCAAAGAGTGACAGAGAGATAGGGAGAGAAAGTTGCATCACATGCAATCCACTTTCCCATGCAAAGCCAAAATTTCCCTCACTAACAAGAAAGGCACAAAGCTCACTTCATATGTATAGCACAGACATTGATCTTTGTGTCCTCAAACGTAGTATAAACTAGCACGTTATCTACATCTTACATTAGCAATATCTCAGCAAATTCTTTTGCTTTCAACCCAAATGAATTAATCTCATTTGAATCAAAACTCCATTAAGTTTGGCATAACCCTTTGTGCTTTCTCTGTGAAGTTGGAAAGATGAGGACAGGAATTTGCAGCATACACCTTCAGGCTCTTACACCAGAGGCTACAACCCTTGTTAAACAAGCTGTTAATCTTGCCACAAGAAGGGGTCATTCTCATGTGACTCCTCTCCATGTTGCTAGTGCTATGCTTGCAACCTCCACTAGCCTTCTCCACAAAGCATGCCTTCAATTCCATTCTCACCCTCTTCAATACAAGGCACTGGAGCTTTGCTTCAATGTTTCCCTCAACCGTTTGCCAGCATCCACACCAAGCCCTCTTTTGTGTCCTCAATATTCCAATCCTTCACTTTCTAATGCTTTGGTTGCAGCATTCAAACGTGCTCAGGCTCATCAAAGACGTGGATCTATTGAGAACCAGCAGCAACCAATTTTGGCCTTGAAAATTGAGGTGGAACAGCTCATAATCTCTATCCTTGATGACCCTAGTGTTAGCAGGGTCATGAGAGAAGCTGGTTTCTCTAGCACCCTTGTTAAAAGCAGGGTTGAACAAGCTATTTCAATGGAAGTTTGTTCACAACAACCTACTTCTAGGAACCAGTCCAAGGAAGTTAACACTAAACTTCAAGTTCTTGGTAGTAACAATGTGTCCCCATCTAGATCTTTTGGTCAATTTGGGGGTTCATTTTTCAAGTCTATAGACCATGCTAATAATGATGTAGACGATGTAACTAGTGCTTTGAGTGAACTTGTGAGTAAGAGAAGAAACACAGTCATTGTTGGGGAGAGTCTTGCCAATGCTGAGGGAGTAGCTAGGGGAGTGATGGATAGGTTAGAGAGAGGCATTGTTCAAGGAGAATTGAGGTATGTGCAATTTGTGAGTCTTCCTCTCATCTCCTTCAAGAACATTAGTAAGGAGGAAGTTGAAAGGAAACTTGTGGAGCTTAGAAGAGTAGTTAAAAGCTGTGTGGGGAGAGGGTTTATTATTTACTTGGGTGATCTTAAATGGTTGTTTGAGTTTTGGTCAAATTATTGTGAGGAAAGAAACGACTACTACTGTTCTGTGGAGCATATGGTGATGGAACTTAAAAAATTGATTAGTGGAAATGGGGAGAGTGGTAGACTTTGGCTAATGGGGATTGCAACTTTTAGAACATACATGAAATGTAAAATATGTCACCCCTCCCTTGAAACTATTTTGCAGCTTCAACCCTTTACAATTCCTGTTGGTAGCTTGAGCCTTGGTTTAAACTTCGATAGGTAATTCATTCTTCATCTATATTTCTCTAATATTTTCTGTTTCGGATACTTTATTTTTATTATTTATTATTATTGAGTGCATTGTAGTAATATTCTGTGTTGTTTTACATTGTTTCAGTGATTTTCAAACTCAGGAGAGAAGGAAGGTAATATTCAAGGATGAATCTTTTGAAGATCGAGCCAAAGTGCACAAATATCTAACATGCTGCAGAGATTGCTCACTGAATTTTGAGAAAGAAGCTCAGAGCATTCCAAGCAGTATAAGAAAAAAAGAATGCACTTCTAGCTTGCCAACATGGCTCCAAAATTTCAAGGAAGAGAGAAGTCTCATAATGGAAGATCAGGTTGTCATCATAACCACTCTTAATTACTCCAAAATGATAAGGTATTTATGGGGAAAAAAACATGAAACTAATGTTTCTATATTTTTGTTATCTGAATCAGGAAAATCGCAAGCTTAAGGATATCTGTAAGAAATGGAACTCATTTTGTAGTTCAGTGCATGGTCATGCTTCCAATCTTGAGAGAAAATTTTGGCTTGCTTCATCCTCTCCTTCATCCCCTACTTCTGTCTCTTCACATGAGAAAAAGTCTAGCTTGTATCTGAGCCACCGAAATTGGCCACTCATATCTGTACCAAAAGAAGTACCTAAAGAATGTGAGTTATACACTGAGACTATTAGTGATGATTGCTATGAAGGAAACTTGATAATGTTCATGCCAGAAAGAAATGTTCCTAAGCCAGATCTTTTGTCAAATCCAAACTCTAGTCCCAACTCAGCTTCTTCAAGTGAGGCAGTGGATGGTTTGGATAGCACTCAAATGTTCAAGGAGCATAATGCTGAGAATCTGAAGATTCTCTATGATGAATTGGAGAAAAAGTTTCCACAACAGAAAGAAATAATTAAGGAGATTGCAAGCACTATCCTTCTTTGCAGGTCAGGAATAAAAAAAGGAAAGAGTGAATTAGTGAAGAGAGATGAAAAACAGGAAACTTGGATGTTCTTTCTAGGTGTGGATTCTCATGCCAAAGAAATGATGTCAAAAGAGCTAGCTAAAGTTATTTTTGGCTCTTATAGTAACTTTGTCTCCATTGGTACAAGCAGATTCTCTTCCCCAAGAGCTGATTCCACTCATGAGGAATTGAAAAACAAAAGACCAAGAGATGAGTTTGGTAGCACTTATGTTCAGAGATTTGGGGAAGCAGTGAATGAGAATCCTCATAGGGTGTTCTTCATGGATGATTTGGAGCAAGTTGATTACTTTTCTCAAAAGGGTGTTAAGCAAGCAATTGAGAGTGGAAGTATAACACTTCCAGGTGGTGAATCTGTACCTCTCAAGGATGCCATTGTCATTTTCAGTTGTGAAAGCTTAAATTCAGTGTCAAGAACCTGTTCTCCTGCAAGAACTACTCCATCTGCTGAAAACAAAGGGAAAGAGAATAATGATAAGTTGGAGGAGAAAACTCTATGCCTCTCTTTGGATCTGAACATAGCGATTGAAGTTGATGCCCAAAATGTGCATTTAGCTAGAGATACTGGGATCCTAGAGTTAGTTGATAAGCAAATTAATTTTAAAATACAAGAACTGTGATAGTAGAGGAGAAATAATCTTCTATGTTGAAGTTTGGGTGATACTTCTTTTTTATTTCTTTATATTTTCAACTTATTTATTGTTGCTCAGTTAGATCACACTTGGTGGGAAACAGATAGTAATGAATGCTAAAATACTAGATAGAGATACAGCTTTATGTGCATTTTTCAAGCTTTGAGTGCTGATGGTAAATTTAGGGATGCCTCTATATATGTGTTAATGTAATGGATCCGATCCTTTTTTTTACACGTTATAGCGTGCACATTATCTATATTGCATCGACATCGATACGGAACACATGACACAACTATCCGACATGTTAATTTTAAAAAATATTAGATTTCGAGATAAGTTAGAACATATTTTGATACTAAATAATATTTTAATTTATGTAATGTATATTATATTTAATATTCAATAATTTAACAAAAAAAAATGAAGTTAAACTTATAATACTCATCAATTTTATAAACAACCATAAGATATTACTAATATTTATATTAAACTCAATAATATAGTAATCGTAATTCAATGAATCTAATAGTTGAAACTAAAAATTCAATATAATGCAATATTTGAACCCTTTTTGAGTATCTGCAACGGGTGTTGAAGTGTCGGAGTGTCAGGAAGTGTCGGACACGACACGTTAAGATTTTTGAAGTCGCACTTCGTCAGTCAACTTTTTTTATGCTCCTGCAGGATGATAGAGTAGGGGTCGCCAGACCTAGAGAATTCACTTTGAGATGAATATTTTTTCTCTGTATTGTTTCTTTTTGCCTTGCTGTTTTCTGTTTTCTTTGGTTTTGTGCTTAGCCCTCCCTTGTTACCAATAAATATATATATATATATATATATATATATATAGGTAGGATCATTTGACACCGGTGTCAACTTTCAATTTTGACACCTCATCTGAGAGCCGTTAGATCAAAAAAGATCAACGACTCTGATTTGCAAGCATGTGACACCATTGATCTTTTTTTATCTAACGGCTCTCAGATGAGGTGTCAAAATTGAAATTTAACACCGGTGTCAAAGGATCATATCTCATATATATATATATTAAATGGAGGCATTTTTACAAAGTTAACCATTTAATTGAAAGTAGTTTTCAATTATATCATGTATAAAAAATTTCAGATTTATTGCCAACCCCATCAACACAGTTTTAATTAAACTAATGTAGTATATGTTTTCCAAGCAAATGAATATATACACCATTGGACCATATGATTTATCAACGTTTAAATTTTCTAAAACCTTGTATGATCAGCCTAATACAGAGCTTGAATATCTTCCGAGACTTGAATTCGAAAATAGGCTGGAATAATTTCCTACCAATTGATCCATGTTTTTAGTGGTCTTTCTCTGAATAAATTGAACTACAAGAACTTTTCCAGTATCGAACACACGCTGTGGCATTTTAGATTATTCGTCGTGCGCATGTTTAGAAAATAATATTTAAAAAAATACCCCTTATAGGTCTGACATAATTGAAACTGGACTAATCGAATAATCTATGAATCAGTGATATATAAAATAAAATTGTCTTGGTATAAATTCTAAGATGTCTAATTGATTGAACTCTTGTATATTTTATGTAAACTAAGATTATATTATTGGACGTAATTAAGTAGCAGCAAGAGCTAGCTGTGCATCACCATGCATATTTTTCCAAGCCACTTTATCTCATAGACAGTTCAAACTAATCTTTTAAGGAAATAAGATCACTTGTCAAAAAAGTTAAAGGACTTCGAAGGATATACGAAGGAATGATTCATAGCGTAAGCATTCTGCAAAGGGAAAAGGCTTCCTAACATATCAAAGCATATAAAAAAAAAAAATATTTTTCATAAATCACGATGTCAAAAGCTGTTCATTTTAAAATCAAACGTTTTAAGTAGGTGTAGCATCACGAAGCATATGAACTACTTATGGTTTGTCAAAGTCATATTTAAAAGGAACTGTGTCCACCAATAAGGATATTTACGGTTTTGTTGGAGATTATATGTAACAGTATATTGTTTGAATTCAATCCTTTGTAACCGTAGGTTTGAATTCTTTGTAACGTATATTGTTTGAATTCTTTGTAACCGTAGGTTTGAATTCTTTGTAACCGTAGGTTTGAATTCAATTCTTTGTAACCGTAGGACTGTTTAGATAGAGTATTTATTTGTTTTAGTCTGTTACGTTGTTACCATTTATTGTATGTTCGCCTATTTGAAGGCTACCAATGAATGAGATAAACACACAGTTGAAATATCAAGTTTATCTTGGTATCAGAGCAATCCTAGTATACACGTTTCCGCATTCCCTTTCAGTGCGAAAGCTGGTTCATTTAACATGCTCTAGGTGGTGGCAGCAAGTCCAAAACAACTGATCCTAGTTCGCCATTTTACTTGGCTGGATCCGACAATCCAGGTCTCTTGTTAACGACTGTCATGCTGCGTGGTGAGGCCAACTATGACAACTGGGCCAAGCTCATGAAAAACGCATTGAAGGCGAAAAACAAATTGGGTTTTGTGACCGGTTCAGTCAAGAAACCAGGAGAGGATGATGCCGAAGAGTGGCGCGCCTGGGAGATGTGCAATTCGATGCTCAATGGTTGGATTCACAACACCATTGATGCAAAACTTCAACCATTCATCAAGTGCTTTGATGACGTCAAGGACTTATGGAATGACCTAGAGGAAAGTTATGCAGTGCAAAACTTTCCAAGACAGTATCAACTGAAATCCAGTTTAGCCAATATCAAGCAACATGGAGATAGCGTTGGTGATTATTACACCAAACTCAGGGCTGTATGGGACGATCTGGAAGGCAGCAAAACTCGCAAGTCTTGCGATTGTGGTGATAAGTGTGCCATTGCCAAAGCAATCGAGGAGGAGCAAGAGCATGATCGCGTTTATCAATTTTTGATGGGGCTGGATGAATCTACATTTGGCAATCTGAGATCCCATATCCTCAACACTTCTCCTCTTCCTAGTGTCAACAAAGTGTACGCAATTGTCACTCAAGAGGAGACCCATCGTAGTATTTCTCGCGTTCAAGATGAGAGGAGTCAGGTAGTGGGATACTCAGCCCAAACCGATTCCATGAAGCAGTCAGACACGTCCATGCAGCAGCGGATGGTTCCTAACAAACCACAAGACAGAGTACCTTGCCCTCATTGTGGCAGGACCAATCACGACCCTTCCAAATGTTGGAACGTTCATGGTTTTCCACCAAACAGGAGTGCTGGTCGTGGACGAGGAAGGGGAGGACGTTCGGCAGGACGTTATACGCATGCTCATGCGACGTTTGCAATGGATGCCTCACACCCAGTTGCTGCTAACTCTCTTCCTCCAGACGTCTCCCATTCTGCCTCTTCTCAAGTTGCTGCACACTCTGTTTTGACCCCAGAAATTGTGAACAAACTGTTAACATTGGTAGACCAGCCTCAGTCACATGAAAAATTATCTGGTAAGCGTATTCATTCTCAATGGCTCATTGATAGTGGGGCCTCACGTCATATGACAGGCACTTTGGCTTTATTAGCTGACATTACACCTATTCCCCCTCTATCCGTGACTCTACCAAATGGTTCTATTACTTATGCTGCAAAACAAGGCTCGATGGTGTTTAATACAAACTTCAGCTTGTCAAATATTTTATATGTGCCTAACTTACGCTGCAATCTCATCTCTGTTTCCCAATTGCTTCACTCCAAGAGCAGTAGCGTTACATTTACTGATAAAAAGTGCATTTTGCAGGACCAAGTGCTGAAGAGGGAGATTGGTTTGGGTGAACTTCATGAAGGAGTCTATGTGTTTCAGCCTTCATGTGCTTCAGCTTCGGCAGTTCAAGCAAGAGAGTCAATTGACTTGTGGCACAACAGGCTAGGCCATGCATCCTATGATATCTTATCTCTGGTTCCAGAATTTAAAGCTTTGCAAAATAAAGTAGTATGTAAGGCATGTGAAGTTTGTCATCGTGCCAAGCAAACTAGATCAATGTTTCCTATAAGTTTTTCTCGCAGCAAAGAATGTTTTGATTTAATCCATTGTGACACTTGGGGTCCTTATCAAAATTCTTCTTCTTCTAGTGCACGTTATTTCTTAACTGTGGTGGATGACTATAGTAGGCATGTATGGATTTTTATGTTGGCCGATAAAAGTGAAACTTATGATCGGATGTGCAAATTTCTTGCTATGGTTCTAAACCAATTTGGTAAAACCGTAAAAATAATAAGGTCTGATAATGGTACTGAGTTCAAATCTAATAACATGTGAAACTCTTGAATGAAAAAGGTATTTTGCAACAAACAACTTGTGTTTATACGCCTGAACAGAATGAGAGAGTCGAAAGGAGGCATAGACACATCCTTAATGTATCACGTGCCTTACTGTTTCATGCAAATCTCCCTGTTGATTTTTGGGAGGAGAGTATTCTTGCTGCTGCTCATATAATTAATAAAACACCTACAAGAGTTCTCCAAGGCAGGTCACCACATGAAGAATTGCATGGAGCTAAACCAGATTATACATACTTGCGCACGTTCGGTTGTCTGTCATTTGCTAATACAAGACCGAAACCAACTGACAAGTTTGCTCCATGTTCGCGACGATGTGTTTTCATCGGATATGCAATAGGGCAGAAAGGTTGGAGATTGTTTGATATAGAAGCGCAACAAAGCTTTGTGTCCAGGGATGTAAAATTTTTTTAAAATAGTTTTCCTTTTCGCGAAGCTCCAGTACAATATGTTTTTGCGCCAAATTCTCGTGTGCCTACAGAGCCAAATTACTTTGACGAAGGCCAAATTGTCCATGACGGTTCTGATGCATCAAATGACAGCCCAACGCCTAGTGGATCATGTGTTCCTCTGGACGATAGGGGGAGTGTTTCGCTGGAAGCAACACCAACTAACGAAGTTGTCGCTAGGGAGTCCTCCTTACTAGAAAGAAGTTCGAGTTATAGTGATGCATCAACCCAACAGCAGTTGCTGGAAGCAAATCTGCGTC